ACTCCGCAGACGATACATGACCCAAGGACCACAGCCGCATACAGTACAGCTAACGATAGTCGGCGAGGTTCTGCTGAAAAAAAATCAGGAAGTTTGTAAATCGAACATTGAAGTCAAACTTTTAATCAAACCACTGAATTGATGGATATGTTGGATAGACTGTGTATATAAATTATGAGTATGAGCGTTGGCACTGTGGAGATGATTCAGGTATTATTATTATTATTATTATTATTTTTTTTTTAAATGGAGTAAGTGAATCCTCGCAACAAGTACTCTTTTAGACACACGATACGGTGAAGAGATACGGAAATGATACAGAAATGCCACATAGACCTAGATTTCCCAAACACTGTTATCAAAAGGCCTGGTTCTTCTATATCCATCTATGGCTAGTACATGTATTTCTTTGTACCATACCAAATACATGCGGATAGATAACTCATAGAACAGTTTTTGATAATATTTTGCTGTTGTTAATGTAGGATTGATTGACTGCATAGCATAACTGCCCAGCAATAGGGATTATGAAGTTTATAAAGTTCTTACCGCAAGTTGGACAATGCTGGACGTTTGGCAAGTACATCGGATTCGGATTAAGGGCATTCGGGATATCATTGATGTTGTTTGAGGCCGCTGATGGTTGATTCTGCAAAGGCGGTGTCGTCCGATCGTCCCCGGAAGCTGTGCTGCATACCATGTCATCCTGGCACATGTATGCGGTGGCATATGGTTTAATGCTTTCATCATCAGAGGTGATACTGGCTTTTGCGGCTGCCTCTTCATCTTGCAGGTGTGTTACAGCATATGGCTGAAGGCAATGGTTGTCATCGTTGTTAGCTGGACTAGAGTTTGCTTCACCATCTTGCAGGTGTGTTACAGCATATGGCTGAAGACCATGGTTGTCATCGTTGTTAGCTGGACTAGAGTTCGCTCCATCACCTTGCTGGTGTACATCAGCTGATGCCTGGGTACAGGGAATGTCATCATTCTCATATGACCTGATGGTGGACTCAGGGCTGGCGTTGGGAGGTTCCACGGGGGTTTGCAGATACATCGGATTGGGGTTAACGTCGTTTCTGACGTCCATCGGATAAGGGTTGATGGTGTTATGTGGGTAAATCGGATTTGGATCCCTGGTTGGTCCGAAGCTTGCATTTGGTTCTATGGTGCTTTGTAGGTACATCGGATTGGGGTTAACATCGTTTTTGGCGTCCATCGGATAAGGGTTCATGTTGTTATGTGTGTACGTCGGATTTGGATCCCTGGCTTGTGTGTGCATGCTGCTATCGCTTCCCTTGAAAGCTGAAGTATCAGTTTCATTGTTGTCGGAGACACAGGTTGCCAATTGGCTGTTTGTTCCTTGAAAGGGTTTATCTTTCGCCTTTTCTACACTTTTCTCCGCACAGATGTAATGACCCTTGCATATGTATGCAATGGCGTATGTATCAAAATCGCCAGGGCTGATTGTCTCTCTGTTGTCGATCTCAAAAGCAGCATCGTTTTCGATAGACCGTGGTTCACCGTCCTCATCGTGTTCACTTTCCTCAAATTTACCAGAGATGTTACTCTCAGCATCTTCGTCAGCTTGCTTCAAGTTTGATGACACAGTTTCTGCCAAACTTTCACTCAAGGTGTCGTTTCTGACGACCATTGGTATGGCGTTGAGAGAAAGGTCTTCATCCATTGCCCCGAGACTTCTTGAAGACAAGCTAGCATAATAGTAAGACAACTTATTCCCACAGTCCATTAACATAGATATGTATGCATGTATGTTTACTATGTTTAAGTACATAATAACAATGCGTAAGTGCGCCAACACCCCCCCCC